TTTTAATCGTAATGGAAATCCTAAATGAAAAAACATGTTAATACATTTTGTATAGCGTTTGCTAAAAAAAAAATAATTTTATCAATAAACTGCTTTATTTGCAGTGCGCACATTGTGTGAAAATATACACTCCGAGTATTATTTACAAAGATCTAAACGACCATTATGTTCAATAGAGTCCTAAAATTGTTTTCATAGAAATAATGTTTGTTTTTAATGGCGCGGATATTGTAACGAGGTTTCGGGTATTAATTGATTTCACATGAATTTTTAATGAAGTCGCCGATAAAAGGCGGCACGCAGGCCAACGGAAATCATGAAAATAGTTGAAGGGTTATGGACAAATAAATCGAAACAGTCGCAGACGACCTGTGTACCTTAAAAAACACCTTTTGAATGTTCGCAATCAATACTCGGCGTTATTTTCGAATAGAATGTATTTAGATGGGAGAGGGAGATACATCACTATTGTTCTTTTAGGCCATCTACACCCTGGCAGTGCGTACGGGTGGGCGGGCACAGATGAATATTTAATGCAACCTTGTGTTTTGCCGGCAACCACGAATTACGGGCAAACACAATGAAATTGTGAGTAAAACGCGAGAAATAATAACTCGTATGAAAAACGAGAGTCGCCGTACCGATCAAAAGGGTCCTTGTCCTCATTCAAGGTTCGCCTGGACATGTACACCACGTGTATATCTCAGCTATTCTCTTGACCCGACATTAATTGTGTTTGATGTTCAATGTCATAGTTGATTACACTGGCAACGTTTTCGCGATCCTACAAACCTGACAGTTGAATCGCAAAGCCCGGTGGATATTTTTTACGGGGAGTTTACGCGGATAATCCGATTGGCAGAAATCGTCCAAAATACGTGTTATGATATTTGAATCAGCTGCCCACCAGGTACTTGTCGGCAACTTGAATTCGTTGGCTCGGCTATCGAATTAGTTTAGTTTTGTTTTATAACGACTAATGCCACTGTAGAATCCAAGCAAACATCAAACGTGGCAAGGTCGACTGTTTATCATATGCCAGTGAAAACTGTACGCTTATGCCCCACGTGTGTTTATTTAATACAACGAGGAGCGTACTGATAAAGAGAAAATCTTTTGAACTTTTACTACTGTCAGTGTTTTTAAAATAGGCTCAGCACTTTTATCTATCCTTTAAAAACTTTATCGAATGAAGCATATAAAGTAATAAGTTTAGAAATCTATTAAGACTCACCCTCGCCGAGACAAATCCCGATTAAAGTTTGCAGTGACGGAAGAGTTGTAACGAAATCAAAGGTAGAATATAATTCAGTATTTTTTTCAGTCCGACAAAAAAAAAACTGTCTACGTGTGCGACTTACAGTCCATTTGTGATGCAGCCGAAGTGAATTTATTTTTCAGCTTTAAAAACATTCGTCGGTAGCGACGTGACAGTTTTTTTAAGGACTTTTTGATATCAATAGTTGCGATTGGATCGGCAGTAATATTAATGTATAATCAACAGAAATTTATTTTTTACGGCACTTTAAACGAAACAACATATCAAAAAGAAACAATTACCATAATTTTAAAGCTTTCATGTGATTTCTACATCTTTTAAACTAAAGTAAAATTTTTCAAACCATAATTTTTTAATAACGACTAGAAAATAGAGTGAGTATATTAATTAAGTGTTTACTGTTTGCAAAACAATTACAATTTGAAAAAGACGTTTTCGATCAATGCAAACTATGAATTTTACAATTAGAAATTTTTTTCTCTACACATATTCGAGTACGCTTAACTTAAGTACGTGAGTTTAATATTTGTAAATTACTAATATTTAATGTTAATTATTAGCTTTAACTTGAGCTTATCAGCATCGCATTATGTAGATTTCTGTGATTGCTATCGTTAATGGTACGGATATCAAGTATACAAACAAAATAAAACGTTGAGTTTCTCTGCTTACTTTACTAATTATTTCAGAGCAACTATAATTTTAAGTTATAAAATTACCATACTGTTATCAACTGGTGAAAAATGTCATAAACTCGAGTAAAAAGTAGTTAATTAAATTCTTTTGTTAAATACATTTTTAATTATCATTATTTTTTAAGTATTTTACATTAGTAAATTCTTTGCCGGGTTTGAACATTATGAAAATTAATAAAATACACGGAAATATTTTACGCAAAACACAGTTTATTTAACGAAAAATCGTCTCAATTTAAAAAGTTTTGTTCTTTGGTAAATTTTTTTCTTTTAACACGCAGTGGCGTACTTAATAAATGGCATACACGACGTTAACTAGTAATATGACGACACCACACTAATAACGTCATAATTATGTAGAACTTCTCGATGTTTCAGTGATCAGTTGAACACATTTGGCCGAGACGTCATTGAAGAACTCGCAAAAACTACGGTTGGGTTGAATTTAACTTGATCCCGTTAGGACTAGGCACCCTCAATGCTAACCGTTGTTAATTTACTAACCATTTCTATGAATATTTTACTGGGAATCATATGCTGTCGTCGCATTGATGCTTCGAAGCAATGACCCGTGACCTAGTTCTAAAAGCGTTTCCTGCAGACATAAATTATATAAGTACAGAATTTACTAGCTCGTGGAAGCCTGCGATTGTGGTAGAATCATATCACATGTATAAAACGCCCGCACGATCATATTAAATCTTTTTTATGTGTCGCAATTTGGCCTTATCATAATAGTAATAATAACCCACGCTAGACGATAATAATAAAGAGTCGAAAAAAATACAATAATAAAAAAATCAGTTGACACGTACGAAATGTAAGCCCGTTATAATTGTTGTACTACGGCCTATGACTTTGGTCGATTATAAACGTCGCAACTGTTTCTCATATAATAGAAACCATATGTACAAGTATCAGATTACCTTTCTGACGACACCGAGTCACTTTTTCACGGTATTTGGACACTGACCACTCGACTGACAATTTATTCCAAATGCTAATAGGATCAAATCAATTGCTGAGAAAAAAATACTTTTGAATATTCATGTGCTTACCGGTTTTCATTTAGTATTCAGGGTGGTTTCTAGCGCGAGCATCGTCGGTCTCCTCCTCGGAGGATCCGTTACGTTAAAGGGTCACTAAGCATGGCCATCTACGTACAAATAATTATCGTTGGTCTGGAAGCAACACACGGTTTCTTATCTGCGCAGGGATTTGCCTCATGAACAAATTCATTAATATAAAAAAAAAAAAAAGACCGTGGGAATGATTCCCGTCTTGCCCTAGGTCAACACGCTGAAAAATCATTACGATAGCAAAGTACTTGATTTACCTAAGGAAAAGATACACTTTGTCACCGTGGGACGTACTGCAGAGTTTTTTGTTTTTTCTGTGCATTTCATTTGTTATTTTTTCCCGGAAAAGCGCCTTCTTGTATGTCCGTTTTTGTGTTAACAACAAACAAATGTTTACATATTCTTTCCGCGCGTTTGACTTTTCGCGATGCCGTAGCGCAGTAATAATGAAGAACTCAAGTGGGTTCGCGAGAAAATGTATCTTCCATGTCCCGTATTCGAGTATTTGGTAAGCAATTATAGTAACATTACTCTGCTTTAGTGTGCACGAGTCTGTAAAAAGACAAGGACTGCGGTACGTTCTTGGAATCCATTGCCTCCGTTACAGGTGGTTCGGTACGACGACCCTGGGAAGGGCACCGTGTGTATTATTCACCGTACACGCCGAATAAATGAAGAATAAATGGAGCCGTTTCTCAATAACGTGTTTAACTGTCTTTTCCCGCGCGGGTAAATGGTTAAATAACAATTGTTAGCCAGAAGTTATTAACGACTCGAATATCGCAAAAAACACAACCGCTGCAGTGACTTCTGCGAAGACGCGTGTGTAACAACACGAGAGATAAACGATGGCCAATTCGGAAAGGCATCGTATAGGTATTGTGATAGACCATTAGTTTCCTATTCACGACTTCAACACATTTCAAAACGAGGCACCGAGGGATTAACGTGATTAATCGAACTTGGACTTCACGGAATATTGTTATTACTGTAAAAATATATAAACACCATTGTGGCTCTTCAGCTGTCACGACTCACCGTGCCAAACGATGCGGTTATTGATAACACCCGATACCATTACTGCGATCCTGAAACATAATACACAACGTAATAACGGCATTTAAGCGCAATAGTGAGTATTCAATATGACACGTTATCATACCGGTAGCCGGCGGTCGTTTCCATTAAATGGTACCCATAGGCCAAACACAGTTACGCGTGCTGGGCCGTCAATGCGAAACATTTAAATTAAAAAATCGAGTCTGAAGCGGTTACGATGATCTTCGGGCAAAAGGGGCATTGTCAGTGTCCGCAAACAACTGTTGGGACATAAGGCAGTGGTTGAAATGTAAAAACTTTCTTTGTTGCAACCAACTAATAAAAAAACATATTTTCAAATAGATACAAAGATGACGGTTAGTTAGCGGTCGGTCGATCGACTCGCAGAGCACCGTACCGATGACAACCGCACCGGAACGACCACTCGGAAATAAAGGCCTCTCGCCCTATCCCTTAAAAAAAACGCATATTATATTTTTATAGAACAACAATAATAATTGTAGTTCAACCGACGGCGGGTGTACTGATGTACGTTGCACAGTCCCGGTGTGCATATAAGGGTGGGAGGAGGACAAGGGATGCTTTAAGCGTATCGACCGCCGTCCCCTTGTCGCCCTACGTGTACCCGACCCTGTCAATCGCACGAGGCGGTGGCAGCGGGTTATATTATACAAAGTGTAGGGATTAGAGGGGGGATCCTAAATCGGGTGTATAATATTTTTCTGTATCCATACGACACACACACACGCCGGCGGTAATGCCGTGGTAGGGACAGTGACGCTGGACTGTTCCCCTCCTGATCGCCAAAAGGGGAGCGCTGAAGGGCGGCAGGGACCCCTCAGTACGCTGCCTAATAAAACAACAACGCCGACAACGCAGTTGTCGTGTGCGCTCACACCGATTTAGTCGTTTCCTATCGCATTCGTTCTAATCATATTGTGAACATTTGTTGATTATATTTCCGCCGTTGAGAAAAATATTTTAATAACAATTTTATTTTCCGACGTTAGCTTAGAAACATTTTCGTTGCATTAGTTGGCGAGGTCAATTTTTAACCTATTCTAGTCCTTTGTGATTCCGATACGAATTTAAATTATTGCCAAATTATACATATATATTTTATTGAAATATTTATTTTATTTAGAAAATTGTTTTGGTTATTCGCGACGATTTTAGTGAAAATATTTAATTGTTCCGACTAGTTCGTTTGGCAGCCGGTAGTCAATTAAACCGCTCAAGACTATAAGACTAGTTACAGCTGTTGAACTGTTGATAATTCAAGTTTTTCCTTTGATGAGTCAAGGTGAGTGCGCTCTGTAAAAACGCATTTTATAATAATAACACCTGTTCCACGCGCTATAAGTCGGTGGGGGTGGAGTTCGAAGATCGTAGTCGCGGTCTCCCTTTCTTTGCCATGCAACGCCCGCGCACCTCCCGGTACAACCGGAATAGTCGCTTTATGTAATGCATGTGTAGTTCTTCGAAAAATGTAGTCTTAGTACTCCTAGGCTCCGATCGAAACAAAAGAACGGATGTACCGAAGGATACCGCCGAGCGCACTTTTCAAGGATTTAATGTCAACGACCCTGCAGATCGGTATATCTCAATTTCGATTAAAGTTACTATTAATAAAAAAAATATTAATCAGTTTTCGCTTTCAATAAAATAATATCGCCGGAACTGTTATCGTCTATTTAAAAAATAATCGTATCTTCTAAAGCAAACGTACAATATGTTTAACGAATACAAAAGACATAAAAAAAAAAAAAACCATACCGATATACAGTGTCAACGAACTTGATAAAATCGACTTTGAAATCACGAGTATTTCAACTGAAAATTAAAAGCATTTTAGTATAGATGAGTTAATTTTAAGAATTGTTTTGAAACTCGAAAAACAATAGAATTCCCCTCGTTAGTGAAATTAAGTTTTTTCGCCAAGCTCTCGGAATTAAATTTTGCGTGGGTCGTTTACCATTCTTCCGGAAAAAACAGAAATAATATTTTTCATGTTTAACAAGTAAAAATTCATACAGGATATGATCGTATAGCGTTTTATACTGGTCGGGGCTACTAATGGATTGGCCGTTATACGTCACGGTTAGAACAAAAAAAACTGTTAGTGACTAATTCGAACGGTCTTGCTCATGATTCATTACATTGGAGTGGTTAAGCTCAAAGCTACCGCCGGCATATCGCGTGATTCGCACATAACACCGCGTGTTCGTGTCTCTCGAGTGCAACATTGCACATATATGAGTATAAATGGTCTCATTATAGTCTACACCAGTTTACTGAATAATTGAACGCAACAAATACTCGCACGAATGTCAACCTCAGTTTTCCCACACGTATAAATACACAGTATTATCGCCGAGCATCGGTCAGTCGTCCCGCGCTCCAATATTTCGGTGTTTTTACACCAACAAACAACGGTTGTATATATATATTTGTTTAAAAAAAACACACGAATGTCAGTTAGTTGACTTTATTTTTTGTGCGACGGACAGAGAGAAAAAATAGGCCGGCCGCAAATGACTTATGATCATGTCGACCTCGTTGATAGTCTCTTTCTCTATAGTACTTAATGCGCTTTCATAGGCGATGATCGATGGGAGCAATCCATAAGATACGGAAACATCGGGGAACGGAGGACTAGAGCGGACATTGTGACCGAAGAGGGTCTTGCGGTCGACCGAGTTATGAGTTTTCCTTTCTTCTGCGCCCGACGACTGTCAAATCACAAAACCCTACTAAAGTTTCCTAAATAATATTCTCTGTCGGACCCTTTGCCAAAGTTCAGCGCTTTAGTGACTCGCCGTGTACGGGAGATACACGAGTAAACGCGGCAGATTTGCGCGATATTATTAACAAATGGTAATCTTTTGGCCCGTACCTTACCTGTGCGTATCCCAGTCGTTAACGTGCGCCTTATTTTACTAACCGCACCTACGGCCTATGGATTTACGAGGACATCCGGAGTGACAAGATAACCGCTGTGGACGTGTAATAACGTCGAAATGTAAACGCGCGTATGGCCCAGCGATTGTGGTGGTGCGTGCTAATGACACGTTACAGTAGGAAACCTCTCCCAAAACGTTGTCATTAAGCTAAGTTCGTGGCGAAAACCATTTTAAACTTTTGGCATTTTCGGTCTCATAACTCGTTCAGCTGTTGTGGTGCCGCCGTCTAGGCTCATTAAGTATACAATAATTAACATTAAATTATGCATCGGTCGGTGCGAAGTGGTCCCCAGAATTCAATGTGTAATTATTGTATAAATCATCAAAACCTTACTGATACGCCCTGCAACAGTAATCGAATTTGACATTTCATTTGCTTCCATGTCACTGGCGACTAGGATTTTTCGCCTATAACATTTTCATTATGACGGCTGAGATATGTCGGTCGAATTCATTAACAATTGCTATTCACACTGATGCAATACATTTTTTAGCAGCAAGCGGTCGCGCTGCTGTCCGACTATTGTGTGTTACATTTTAAAAACGAGTAAAATACACATATATTATTGCCTTGGTGCAGTCTCCGCACGTTATTAAGGTTAAATGTTATGTATGTGTATCGGACGTATTATTATTGTATTATTTTCAATTAAACCGCAGCCGCCGTCGCGACCTTCTGAAAAATATAATATTGCCCGTATGTATTATACAAAGCGGCTGTGGAATTTTTCATTGCCTTTCCTTCTGTTCAATTATTATTATTACATTTTTATCGAACGGGTTGCGCGGAGTACATGCCGCGGCATACAGAAAACGACCATCATTTATTTTTGTTTGATTTTCTTTCATACCTCCATCTCATTATTACCCACTCAAAAAATACGAACAATTAACGTGTTTGGGGCGAAGACGCGCGGCGGACACTTAAATGGGGTTGATGACACAAAGGCCATCAGAAAATAAATGTTAGTCCACGTGAGATTTGTACGCAAACATTAAATAATATTTGTATTATGCTCGACCGTCTGTATGAAATAAAAAAAAAACAAGACAAACCACCAACCAACCAACCCCAACCGATGCTCGTTTAAAAATAAAATTTAATTTAAAGGGTTATACGAAATTGTCACGATGCGAAAGTCGCATTCCACTTTGCGGTACTGACTTCTGTTTGACGTTTTATCATTTTTTTTTTTTTTTATAATAAAACCACGTCATTTCATTGAAATTTGACTTGGCCGTCAGCCCGAGGAGTCTTTTCACCGCTAACCAGACGTTTAAAAATGTATTCTCCAATCGTCAACGTTCGTATAATTAATTGTATACTTATTTTACTTATTTCCCCGTTAAAGCGTTTTTAATATAACGTTAAAGAGAAATGCACGTTATCCGTAGACTTTTTGGCACGAGATCCATTCGTTCTTCATGCACAGACTACCCACTTGCCAGTGTATCAGCATTAGAGATCAACAAATTATTATTTAGTTATAATCCATCCGAAAGCCTATCGCAGTGCCATGTGTCCATCCGGCGCACTAGGGCCACATACAAAGACTACAGATGGAGTATTTTTGGACCAACACTTAAAAATAAACACCAATAAATTCACCTTTGACATGACGGCAACCGTATCGTTGGTAGCTCATCGACATCGTCATAAAACAGTGTCAACATGTACGAGGAATGAGCGACCGTATAACAAGTCCGTCCTCTAAGTAAGATAGTTATTAGCTCTATTCGAAAATCTATAACATCTGCTAAGCCATAAAATGAACTTGGCGTTAGGTGAAATGTCGAAAATATGAGAAGTTGTCGCAGCGTTAGGACAAGAGATAAAAAAAATATTCTTTGTATTAAACAAGATCAATTTAGCGTCTATAGAAGTATAAAACCACGAGTTTATTAAAAAATATAACAACATACGTAGATTATCGTACCGATTCCATAGTAAACGCCGTCATGGACAACACTGATTATACTTTACATAAAAATTTATGTACTCGACTTTATGTTTGGAAAAAAATACCAACAGTGCCGTAGGCTTGAGAAAATCGCGATAAAAATACCATCTGGGGAACGCTTCCTATGTGTTATACGCTAAAATGTGTCGCCTTCCCCATGTTCATGACGCGGACGTCCGGCTGTTCGTCGTCTCCTGTGTCGGTCTCATATGCGCAAACACGATAAGCCAAGCGCCTTGTGCATAGGAACCTATCGAGATCGTCGAGGGTAGGTTTTTTTTATTTATTGGAGAGTTAATGATGCGTTCCATATCGAATGATTGGAATATATTGGAAATCCACTAGTCCCCCCTGCAAAGAGCATGTATTATTTTAACGAACAGCTGACTAACAACTGGTTTGGAATAATAAGAGAACGAAAATTGCTAAGGTATTTCGTTCGAATTCAATAATTATCATTCTGCCGAGTAGAACAAGAACGTTGATCGATTGCGGACGGGGAGGGGGTTGCGTTTTCTCGCATTGTACTACAGTTGGCGGTATAGTATTTCGGTTTTTCGACGACATTAGTCACGGGCGACACAATACTCCCCTGAACAGTTTTTTTGTCGCCGGTTTAACTGGTTTGCCCCCACACGACAACAACAATAACACATAGGTACGTCTTCGTCCACAATGTTTTTTTACCCCACCGCTGCCGTTGTCATTTCCGAATAATGACATTTTCGATTCAACAAGCTAAACGTTTCTATTATCGACCGAGAGCGTCCCGCTGCGCCCCGCAAAGGCCTCTGCCTCTGCGGAGCAATGCTAATGTCGGAATTATTAATGACAGCGGTGGTGGCGATGGTGCTGGTGGATATATGTTTGCCAACTTCACCTGGCTCCTCCGTATTTATAATATTATACCGGGTGCTACAATAACAGACAAAGCCACGTTATTAATAATCGTCGTGAGTATCCGTTGTTGCAGCACCGGGTCCCTTGACGCTGTAGGCCACGATGGTTCCGCTATTCTGGTTTTGCTACGAGAATGAACATTGATAAAAAATACATATTGAAAACAATGAGATACTTCTACACCCGATAAAATCCCTTAAGACAATTTGTATCCTACACGTTGTAAACACATAAAGGCGGCCTTTGTCTCACAACCCGTGAAATTTTCCGGCTGAGCTGTGCTTTTTAACCTTCTGAAATAATAATAACGTGTAGACAATAGGACTTAACCGCATTTTCAAATGTCGCGAATTGACAAATGCCCGCCGATGCCGAGTTAGTGGGATTCAGGTCACAAAAAATAGAATACAGTTCGCGCACAACAGAGTTGATATCTCCGCAATAAATACCAATAATGTTAAGCTCGTATATAAATTGCT